CTATTAAATGTTTCAATTACTCTTAATTATCTTCCGATCAAAACTGCTTCATTGTTGTTTAAATTTATCATAAAATTGGATAATAGAAATAGAAAAATTGTGCAGTTTGATGATCATTATCATCATTTAAAAGCATCAAAATAAATTATATTACAATTTTAAATGAAGTTGAACTTGAATGTATAGAAATACTTTATGCTAGATAGTAGGAAACTAAAATTAAAAAATTCATACTTAAGAATTAGTCATAGTCACAAGTAAAGAATTTTTAACAATTAGCTAAATACCTTTTTATATTAAAATAATAAAAATAGAATTTGAGCTTACTTATTGGAAGAAATGAATAGAAAATTGATTGCAATCATAATTATCATTTTTAACATTAAGCTTTACATTATGCTTTTTATTTTTTCTACTTTAAGTATAGAAAGCATCAAGCACTTTACGAATCTTTATCACTCTTTTTAAATAACACTTTTTTACTTTTTATATTTAGAATATTTTGTAAAAACCAATATGCTACTTATTTATTAATATTTTTATTATATTTTCCATCATTAATCCTTTCCTTTCTATTAGTATCCAACAAATACTGTTTAGTAATTCATATATTTGATTACAATTCATTCCAATAACAAAAATACCAATAAAATTTCTTCATCATCACAGCAATTACTCATTATTAACCGATGGATAATCATATGTATTTATGAAAAATCGAGCAAATAATGAATAAACAAAAACATACCAAAAAATAAACTTGTAAATTGAATTTTCTGCTACCACAAGCAAGAATTACAAAGCTGTCTGCTTATTCATTCAGGTGCATTCTTTAGTGATAACAGACGAAAAAATGAAAATGATGTTTTTAAAATTTACTGAATATTATTGGGTTAAAAAAATCAAAGTTAATGTTTAGTAAGAACTGACAATAAATGATGTTGATGCTAATTATTGACAATTATATGTTATAATCAAATTCTGCAAAAATTTATATTGTTCTTTTTAATAATTTTTGAATTATTAATTTACAAATTGAAATAATTTGCTCACATTTCCAATCTTTCAATTTTTTATGAACAAAACATCATTAATCAGTTATTCGCTTTCAATAATATGCATAAATGTTATTTGAAGAGAAAATAACAAATGTTATTCCATTATTATTAGTAGACTAGTACGAAAGCAAATCATTATTGAATAAAAGTATCAGTCGTAACTTAAAAATAATTCAAAATTTAGTAACTAATGTAAATTAAAAACAATTAATGCAAATTTAGTAATTAATAGAAATCATGTTTGAATTTAAATTTGTTAACATGGATCACTGTTTCAAAATTTCATTTTCCAAGTACTAGGTAAATTTTTTCAGTAAATAGTTATTTTGCTTACTGTTGAAATAACTTTTTAGTTACAATCATTTTGCAGTATTGTTTATGAATTATCACCAATCTAAGATTTCTTATCATCATCATCCAAGCTATGAACATGGTAGTAATAATCAAATCCTATTGTACTGTTTAAGCAGAATTGACAATTATGAAAATTTTTTATCTGAAATAGTTGCTTATTTAGTTTTTTCAAAATTTCATTCTTATTTTAGATAGTAAAATTCATTTTAGAACAAATTTTATTGTAAACTTTTAAATGTGGTAAATAAAATTAGTTTAAATACAAAAAATTATGCAATTTTTTATTTGCTCTACAAAAATTTCACAAAATCTCAGCTAAAATTTCTTTAAAATTATTATAAATAAAGTGAAAATATACGAAATGACAGAGATTTTTATTAAAGATTAGAAAAATCTTTACTATTTTATACCAATTCAATAAATGCTTACTCACAGCTCTTTCAATAAATTATAGACGAAAAAATCTTTTTAAGTAATGCAAAAATCCAAACAAATATTTCAATCTAATATTTTTTCATTATTTTTCATGTATTTCCAATATCAAATAAATAAAACTACCAAAAATTTGAGTGTGATTTTAGCAAAAATTATATACTTCAATATATTAATGAAAATACGTACATTCAAGCATTATATAAAAACGTATTCAGTAAATTTTTTTTGATGGATAATTTTTTAAGCAAAATAGAGATTCAGTTTTTATCCAAAGAGATTCATATCCTACTTATTTTTATAGCCTTTTTTGCTTTTAATAAATTGAATTCTTTAATGTGTAAATATCAAAGATTTCAGTCTATTAAATGTTTTCACACAAACTTTACTGAAATACCGAAAAAAATAGGCTTATTTTTTGAAAATTGGAATTTTAAATAAGTTTATAAGCTATAAATATATGCTATATACTTCTGATTCATTCAAAGATACTTACTTCATAATTTGAGACTAAAATGCATAAATAACTACAAATTCAATTTACAATTAGAATTTTGACTAAAATGCAAATAAATAAACAAATACAATTATAATTTGTTAAACAATACAACTTAAAATATCAAAACGATCTAATAATAAATGCTTACTACTATTAATTAGTTTAGCAATACAAAAAGAACTGATTAATTGACGTAAAAAAATTCACAAAGTTTTGTACCAAAAAAATTTTTTTTTTAAATTATTAAAAAAAATAAAAAATTGAGTATTTTTTAAATACAGCAGTGTTTTTATTAGCTTTGCATATTCAAGACAAATTAATGATAAATTCTAAATGCATTATTGCAAATATTAGCATTCAGTAATGGTTTCTAAGCTAGCATTCAAAAAATTGCAGTACTTTTAGTAAGAAAAAAAGAAGTAAATAAAAAGCATCAAAAAATAACAAGATTATGTAATGAATAGAATTTAAAAATTCAGAAAAGAATGTACGACAATAGTTGTCATTCAAAGGCAAACCAATTAGCCTAAAATTCAAGTATTATTAACATTTTGAAAACATTTCACTTTCATATGAGTTTTAATTACTTAAAAATCAATTAGGCTATGAAAGATAAAATATAATAATTATAATTGAAAAGAAAGTAAAGCAGTTTAGTTACTTTTGATCAATTATATTTACTTAATATGAAAAATAATCATTGCTGTTTATGCCTTAATTGTTTAAAATATAATGAACATAGCAGTTACCTATTTTCACATCCTCAAAGTGTACTAAAGTTTGATACTTGATAAATTAAAAATACAATCAAAAAATGAATATTTGAAAGTTTCAATAGTTTGAGAAAATATTTATTAAATTATTTAAAATATTTTATAAATTTCTTATCATTTTAAAAGTACACTGCAAAAGTTAAAATTATCTGTGCGATTTTTTATAATCTTAAATATTATAAAAATTATACAGAAATTTATTTACCAAATGAAAAATATATTTAATTTTCATATTTTATAAAATTATTATTTTAAATATTTTATATATTTCTAGATTTGTAAACATGTATTTCAAAACTTAAGACTAACGAAGTATGCCTTGCTGCAAATTCAGGAAAAAGCACAAAACAGCATGTAAGTATAGGTAATGTTTTAATTAACTTTTACAAGAATAAATATTCAAAGCAGATAAAAAATCAAAAACAAGTCATTAAACAATCATTATAAATGCATTACATAAGATAATGGTAAAATGCTCTATTTTTAGGTATTAGCTCTGGTAATTAAATTGAAAAAAAATTGTATAAAATTAAAACTTTAAAGGTTATATAGCTCAGCAAGCATCACCAAAAAGAACGACATTGCATTTACGTGTTATTAATTTAATATAAAATAGTCTTGATCATAACTTTCACAAACTTTTACATGTCAGCTAGTATACTTGCAATATTGTTGAGTAATATTACTTTATTTCTTTTTATATAGCCTGACTTTTTGAAAATGTTTTTCAATGCTATAGGAAATGAATTTTATTCCGTGAGAAATAAAATATGAACTGAATAGAATTTCAATTACGTAAACATACTGAATTTACTTTCCACATTTTCGTTAGCAGTAATTTTATTTAGTTAGCTTAGTAAGAATAGGTGATATTTTAATTACAATTTTTAGATGATAGATTATTTTCAAAATATTCTGCTCCCTTTTCTATTCTCATTTTTATGATAGCAATCGACAAATACTCAATCATAATTCAGAAGATAATCAAAATTTCTTAGGTTATCTAAAAGGGAAAAAAAATTATACATCAAATGCGTTCTTGATTTTGTTACATGTAATATGTTTACTCAATCTTAGACAATAATTCAAACTGTATTTATTTGGAAGTAATTTTATGAATAAAATTTTTTGAAAAATGTAAATAAACTGAAAAAATTATTCAGTTGGTAGATTAACTGATTAATTAATTAATTAAATTTGATTCTTGTGATTATTTATCATGTTTAATTAATTTTTAAAAATTAGAACAAAGCCATTATACTTTTGAAAACTCTTATTTTTTGCATTAATAATAGAATTAATTAGTAAAAGATGAAATTATACGAACAAATGTTTGTGTGCGTGTTTTTTTTCTTCATTCTAATGACTAATACTATGATTATGATTATTCTCATTGCAGCAAATAATTAATACTTGTAAAAGGAAAAATGAATTGTCTTGTTTAGTGAAAATTTATGCTAAAAATGAATAAAGTTTTAAAACTAAAACAAAATGAATGTTGGGTTTGGTATTGTGCTGAATAATAAATAAATAGACCACACATTCAATTTTTAAAAAAAATATTAATTTAAATGTGGTACTTTGAAGATTAAAATTAGCGTTACTGTTAATATATGTACGTTATTTTTGCATAATAATTTATTACCATTCTATTGATGTGTCATGTAATTAAAATTAATCTTGTTTGTACCTTTCAATGGCTATAAGAAAGTATTTCATTTGAAAATATCATTCTTGAATATACTCTGACCTACATATTATCATTTAATTGCATTTATTGGACTTCATAACCTTCTTAATGTCAAGTCACATAGCAAATTTATAAAGTTATTATTTGAATTAAATTATTTATTCATATTTTGTTTTGTTCTGTCTGCTTGCATAATGTATGATTACCGATATGTTTTTGCTGTCAATATATTTTTGTTATTGAAATTATTCGATGCTCAAATTTCTGCAACAATCTCGGAAAGTTTTGGTCAGATTTACTGACTTATTTATCTTTATTATAATTATTATTTTTATCAATCATATCATTGGCATATTTTTGATTTAAAAAAAAAATTGATTATAATATTTTAAGTGTTAACATTTTAGCTTTATCAATTTGTATTTATAATTGAAGAAAAAAAAACAGCCATGATTGATTACTTTTATTATTTAGTATTAATATAATCAAAACAAAAATAACGTTTTTGTTCTTTGAATTTAGTAACAGGATGTTTTCTTCCCATATATCATCGTGGCATTTCAAATTCGGAACCTATTGCTGAACTGTGGAGAGTTGATGTTATTGACTGTCTTTCTTATTGCATTACTAATGCTCCAGAAAATGAAGTTAGTGTATATCTCATTTACTCATTAATTATAAATGAGATAAAAATGAAAATACTGAAAGCTTTCATGATGATTTAGGATAGATGTAGTTCGGTGGTTTACCATCGGTATTTTTCTACTTGTCAACTTTATAGTCATGATGGTACTTTACATGGTTCACAAATTGTCTACGCATCTGGACATGATTATTACAATCGAACAAGTTATATAGGTACATGTGAAGATAAAAGAAGTACTGTTTACATTATTATTGTTTTTTTTTTGTTTTTGCTTAATATTTTTAAAGACTATTAAACTAACTGTTATCATTAAGTGAGGTAAAATAAAATTCTATATATATAATTGTGATATTGAAAGAAACATATCGATGGAAACAATCAGAAACACACCAACTTTGGCCAATAGAATCAAATCAGGCAATAATGTCTACAGTTGAACGTGAAATTAGAAAGCACGAAGCAGCAAAGGTAGTAAAAGAAGCAAGTGAAATTCCAAACACATTCTTAAATGATGATGAACAAAAAAATGAAACAGAAGATAATGCTGAATGGTCCGTTTTTGCTTTTCTGAATCAGAATGTAGCGTTTGGTGAGAATTTCATTATTTGTGCTAAAAATTTATGCAGACGTAAGAAAATAAATCGCTATATTCAAATTAATAATAGAAATGTATTAGATGAGTATAATTAATTAACATGAAAGATCAAATTTCTAAATTATTATAATAATCATGCGTATAAGTTTTCAAAATAAGCACACAAATTCTTTTTTTAGTGTTATATTCAAAAAAAAAAAAAAATACTGATTAAAATTCTACATACAATGGCTTTTTCAAGTATTACTAAAAAAATAATTGTGATTATTTTTTAAAAGCAAAAAAGCAAATATTAAAATACAAATATAAAGTAGCAGTGATTTTTTTAAATTTAGTTATTTCAGCAACTTGTCAACCAGATGAAGTGATAGGATATTTAGTCTTTACTGGATATGAATCTATATCCAAAGGTCATCCTCATTTATTGCATGGAATTGAACAAACTGTATGCAACGCTTACTGCACAATAAATATTGTGAATTTTTAATAATTTCTGTAAACTTTTAAATAATACAATCATTGAAAAAGGTCACAGAATTTAATTTATACATTAAGATATGAGAAAAAATTTTTTGGCTCTTTGCTAATTACTACGAAAATTTTTAGGATGCAAATGGTAACAGTTTTCCGTGTAATTCAGTAAATTATAATCCAATACAAGAAATATGCGAACTTTATAGCAGTGACTTGAAAAGCAAAAATGGTTTAACGCATTTAATGAAGAAAGAAGGAAGTATTTTTGCCGATAAAATTTGCTTAGCAGGTGCAAATTTTTGTTGTAAAATTATAAATTTCAGTATTATTTATTTTTTTGCTTCTATAAAATTTTACTTATTTATTTATTGAAATTAGCAATGAATGAAATTTATTCATACTTTGTAGTATCATCGAGATTTAGACGATCTTGTCAGCAAGAAGCTATGTTTTTTACTCATCCTGGAAAAAAAATTACAAAAGCAATTATTGACTACTCTAATGGTACTATTTCCATCGGTCACTGTATTGCTATATGCATTAATAGTTTTCATTGTCAGGTATAGCTCTTTTTTTTTGCTATTCACTCATGGATAAATATGAAATATGAAAATTCTTAGTTGGACATAATTGTAAAAAAGAATCACTAAAAATTTGAATAATAAAGCTCTAAAATTTGTTATATAAAAAGTGTTTAATTTTATTATTGATGGAATAAATGAAGAAAAATGAATATAATTGCAGTCCGTTACGTATAAAAATGGTTTATGTGTTTTACATGATGTTGACGTAATCAGTGATCCTGCATCAATGGTTGATGCTACTCAAGATAGCTATGTGATTCAAAATGGTTGCGTTGCTCCCATGACATCTGAGCAAAGTATTAATATATTCTATATTTAAATTTCTATAGATTGAGAATATGTCTATATCATTTATTATAACTATTACAAATCACTGTTTATTAATATTATATGATAATTTTAATTAGCGTAAAATTTGAAGATGCTGATGAAAAGATTGAAAATAACAAGTGGAATGCATGGAGCGATTGTAAGTTTGGTATAGATGGTGAACGAGTACGAGTACGTAGTCGCGAATGTGGTAAAGCAGACTGTACTGATTTACAAGTACAAAATTGCTTTTGATCATTATATATGAACAAATTAAATTGGCATAATATTTATTCTAGTCATTAAATACAAGACTTAGAGATCTTATGCAAGCAAACATCTGTTAACAATATTTAATTTTGTATGAGATTTTACAAATACAGTCCTAATTATTCATTTATTTTGTACAAAAACAATTAAACGACCTTTAATACTTTTCTAAAATGAATTATCATATTTTGTCTCAGTATTTCTTTTTTTTTTTTAGTTTTTTTACTTTTTAGTCATTCATTTTTGTATTTGTTGAGATATTTTTTAAACAGTTGTAAAGTGTGACAAAAAGTGCTGATAATATGACGAATGAATTGCAAATTTTTGCTCTGAATAAATGCTATGAATGTATGTGACATTTGAGCGTAGATCATAGAAGTTAAAAATTATTCATCAACAAAGTAGAATCAACTTGATGACTGTTCCAACGTATCTTTGCTATTTTCGGTATTTTGCATCAATTGTATTCCATCGGAAAAATGCGTTCGTTGTTGTAAACAACGCTGAAAGCAATTTTTTACACTTTATTATGATTTCTTTTACAGTTCACTCAATTAACTTTATCTATTAAATTCATTTGTCTTCTTTTTGTTGACTAATTTAACTACATTTCTGATAATTTTTTGATACATTACTGATTCTTGTGTGTACCCACGTGTATTACATTGTAGTGCATGATTATGCTGCTTCAGTAAGCAAAAAAAGTACCTGAAGAATAGCAAATGCGATAAAAACAATAACAGCTAGTAGAAAGATTTGAAAACAGAAAAGAACAAAAATGATTAAACACTTTAGTTCTTCGGCATCACACGTCAACTGATTTTCTATTGCTGACAATTTTTGTCGCTTAAAAAATAGATGATAATAAATGAGTTGCAAAAACGTGAGTGAAAGTTTAAAAAAAAAGTGATTTATCTCTGAAATTGTTTTAAACTTCGCAAAAGTTTTTGATTATGATTCTTTTTTTTAATTTCTATCATACTACTTACATTTCCATTGTTGTGTATCACTGCCTGAGGTACCAGTACAATCGCTTCTTTACTAAGATCATTATTTTCTAAAAATTTATCATCATTTTTTGAAATAAATATATGTATAACAAACCTGCAAAATTTCTAATCAAATTATACTAATTTTCGAGCAGAAACTACTAACCAAATATTGATTCTTGAAATTTTCGTTCAAGTTTAAGCTTATGCGATGATTTCACAGCGTATATATCATCAGAAAGTTGAAACACTCTCGACTGAGATAGCGTGACAAGAGAATGCCTTTTCCATAATTTATTCGTATGTCTGCAATTAATTATGCAAAATTTTTTTTACGAATACTAAATGTTTTTTTTTAATATAAAAAGTAATAAATATAAGTGAATAAATTGATTAAGCAGTTAATAATTTGTTATATTAAAAAGTACTTCATTATAAACTATTGAGAAAAAAAAAATACATGGCTTGTTGATTGCTGTTGACATTCAATCCTTCGCAACTTTTAAGATGACAAAATTCGCCACATTGTTTTACATATGCTTCATAAATGATTTCAGCCTAGAATTCATCTTTTAACAGTAACTTAATAAATTATTTATTTAATAATTTCCAAAGGGTTTTCAATTTTTTTTTTTTTAAAAAATAGATATTTAACAAACTTAATTAAAGTTTACGACTTATTTGAAAATAACTTTCAAAATTTTTGTAAATGAATTTTATATAACTTATTGAAAATTTTGATTTTACTAATTGTAAGATAAATGATATTTTTTTACATCATCTGAAAAACCATCAAATACAATAGCCAACTGTAAATGGTTTTTATCAATCCAATGAATGCCGGTGAGTAATTCATCTCGAACAATACAACTATAACAAAATTAAGATAAGTAGCGTATTGCTGAGTACTTTGTACCAACAATTGTTTATCAAAAACGTGAAGAATTGCTGTACCCATTAGAATCGATCATAGTTAAAGTTGTACCAGTTTTAACATCTCGCGCGATCATATCAATTATCGAGAATGTCACTGGCTTCTAAAACAACATCCACTGAAATCGTTGACACAAAAACAAATTAATAATGCCCTTAAATTATTTTTTTTGTTATTTAAATTTGAAAAATTGCCTAAAAACTGAAGTAATACAACAGTCATTTTACTTTTAATGACATAATTTTTTTTTTTTAATTTCAAAATAACATTTAAATTCAATAATACAAGTTGAATGTAATAAAGCAATTTTTTCTTTTGTGGTATATGAAATAAATAAATAAATACCTCATGTAATGTTATCAGTATAAAGCCTTTATCACCAGTCCTTACTTGTTCAATAGATTTTCTGTTATCATCCATTACTTCCAGAGTATATTTTGGTTTCATTGCATAATTTTTTAATTCTGATGCTATTCTCATATTTTTTGTTCTGAAAGTTGTGCTTATTTTATCGTTTAAAAATGATGTTAAATGATAATGCTAAAATTTGATTTTCATTCAGTATCAAATATAATTTGATAAAAAACAAAGCAAATTTAAAACAGACAAGTTTTAGATTATTAAACAATTTAAAAATGAGGTAAATAAACAACATTTGCTTTGTTGTATTTTCATCGTCTATTTGAAATTGAAATGATAAATACTGATTTTCTGGAATAAATTCCAAATCCTTGTGTATATGACAAACAACCTGTAACATAATTAAAATATTTGAATAATGACATCGCAATTTGATTTGGAATGATTATACTAATGTCGAATTTCAATTTTGATATTTTTACTTTATATGTGAAAAAAAAAGTCAAAGACAAAATTGCATTACAAATAAAATTAATTATATTGTTGTTTTATTTTATACTAATTAAATTTTAATAAACTTACTTTCAATATTTTATCTCTGACAGTAATTAGTTCTGTACTGCCTTCTTTCAACATAATCAAATTTGAAAAGGTCAAGTGAGGAGAAAGCTGAAGGCAATAATATAATATTATTAATGAAAATATTTAAAAAAAATGAATGAATAGAAAATAACATTGCAGAAAAGATTCAGAAAGCTATGAATAAAAATAATGAACCTTATATTAAGGTATTAAGAAAAGATGCAAAATAAAAACAAACACTTTTCTTCATTCCGCATTCATCATACAATATCTCAGCATCAAATTTGTAGACATTAAGAAATTTTTTTTCACAATAGACTTTTTTATTATTTTTTGTACTAAGTATGCCAGAGAACATTTTGACTGACATACCATATAAATGCATACGATCTGGTTTGCACATTAATTTAACTGCAATAAAAAAATTTTAATTTAATTTGATATAATAAATTAATGGAGTGATTGATTTTTTCAAATTTAAAAAATTTATTTATCTTTTGTTAAAATTTCATTTTTTGTAAAAAATTTTTAATATATACAAAACTAACATTGTATACAATCTTCGAGATCACCAGTGAACAAATTAGGATCATAATTTTCTGCGAGATTTTTGTTCAATGTCCGTGATGAAGAATGACTTAAATAACATAACTGTGTTTTTTGATGATATGTGAATGAACGACAATTACCACTACTCCATGAAAGACATAAACTTTCACATTGATCTTTATCTTCGACGTGAGCAATACGTTCATCAAATACATTTGTGAAACCAGATGACTGCATTCGAATGAAATGACATTGGGCAAGATTCAAATAATCTCAAATATTCAAAAAAAAATCTTTTAATTATTATTATTATTCAATAGCATTATGTTGATTATTTGTGTACATATATGACTAACTAATAAAATAAATGATACATTCTTAGTGTGTTATCAATTATATAATAATTTTTAGTTTTTAAATAGAAATAGTATAATTACTAATGTAATATAAAGAGGTAAATGTTTATTTTTGTAAAAAGTATTAGAGTAAAACTAACTTTCTGTAAAATAATTATTTTCATATAAATCCACATTTTTACTATGCTTGAAAAATTTTCGTATATTGTGAACATTTTGGATGGAAACATTTAAATAACGACAATGCGCAAATTCCTTATTATATAAAGAAGCTCTGCATTGCTCCCTGAAATATATTATATGTCGAAAAAAATTCTTTTAGATTATTTTTAGTAAGATAATTTGCTTTTTTTTGTTACTGCTATTTTGTGTCAAAGAATTATTTTGAAAATTGAATTTCAATACAAACATAATTTTTTTCATTCTTTCACTATTATAATTAACTTTTTTGAATTTTTTATCACACATTCTTTAAATCCAAAATATATTTTGAAAAAAATTGTAGTTTGTAATTCAAATTCAATAAGGCTAACTGACCTATATAAAAAAGCACTTAAATTTGTAAAAGCAATAAAACAAATATATGCAAACCTTTTTAAGCAATTATGCAAACATTGTTGAAGTGATATATTACGCTCAGCATTTACAACAAATTGGTCATCAATGAGATTTTTTCTTGGAAATCGTTCAAATGACCATATTTTGTTATTATTACAATGAGAGATCAAGTCTATGAATGAAGAAATAATGAAAATATTTTAGATAAAACTGATCATTCACAGATACTTCTCAATAATATTTTGAATGAAAATGTGAATAGCATTCACATTAAACTGAATTTGAAAAGCTTGAAGTTAAAGTAATTGATCAATAAGTATATAGTTAAATCAGTATCTTACTTTGTGTGATGCAGAAAGATGTTGCACTGTAAATTATAATTTCTGGAACAGGCAATTCTGATTCAATCCCATTTATTTTTTGATCAATAAGCAAACATATAGATTCATCTTGTACATCTATCAAGAAATTAACGGCAGTGCAATCTTTATGCTAAAATTTTGGATCAAATTTGGATAAAATAATTAATTATCTATTCAATTTGATAATTGTTATCTATGCATCTTATTTTTGCAAATAAATAAAAAAAAGGAATAAAATTTACTTTTGAGCAATGTTGGAGGCAGTCTTGAAAATTAGTCGTTATAAATTTATCAACAACTTTACCTTCAGCCACACGTCCGTGTTCAATGAGATATGTAATACATGCACAATCTCAAATAAACTTTCTCCGCTTTATTATATTTTGTATTAGATTTTAAAATCAACCAGACAAATTTTTGAAAAATATTTCAACTTGGAACTTATATTACTGATTGAATTAAAACTGTTTCAGTGTTTGCTGCTTATTTTTGTTGAGAATTGAACTTTTTTGAATCGTTTAGCAAGTTCAATAATTGTTTAATTCATGTCTAAAAATTTTTATCTTCGTTTTAATTGTTTGCATATTGATAAGTTATCATATATAGATAGGTTCAGAATATATGTTTAAAATGTCATGAAACAATCTGAAGTAATGCTTTGAATAAATTTTTAAAGTTTAATGAGCGTCTTAATTATAAATGTCAAGAACAGTATGAACCTTTATTGATGCTTATGCGATATGCAAAGCTAATGACATTACTTTAAAATTCTATAAAAAATTATTAGTTAAAATTATTATAGTTTCATTTGTGAAACCAAAAACTAGCATTCATTTTCGTATATCCCTAAAAGATATTTAAATCATTACTGACAGTAATAGAATTTATCTCTTTTTTAGCGTGAGCTTATTATATTTACATTTTATACTATTGCAAAAATTTAATAAATTGAGGAAATGATATAAAAAAGTATAGTTAATTTTCATGACTTAAAATCTAATTTATTTTATAAATCTATTGAAAAGATCATTGCAATGATTCTTAGTAAGGATTATAAATTACTTAAAACTTAGTATTTACCAGTATTTGAGTCGAATAGCGTTAGTACTTGTTTGATGCAAATGAAAGAAGTAACAAATAGTAAAAGATGCATTGGTATGAGAAAACTGAAAAATTTATTACATGAAATAAATAGTAAGTCTTAATGCAAGCAGTACAACAAGTGCTGTCTACTTCCGTCTGAAATCAAGTATACAACATTAAGGCAGATGAAATTTTTATTCAACAAATATAATTTCAACGCTTATATGAAAAATTTGCAGTATAAAAAAACATAAAGTGAATACGAGATTTTCTTAATTTCTTCAATCAAAAATAACAAATGAGCAAATTTTTATAATCAAATATTAGACTTGCAATTTTAATTTTCGTATATTTTTAATCTTTATTATGGAATTAACTTCATTAATTCGATAATTTTACTCACAGATCAATAATTTGTAAAAGTTATAAGACATCTGCTTTGATTGGCAAAGCAATAATTTTGCAAACACAAAAATAAAATATATATTTTTATATATATTAGAAACATTTTTAAAAAAATGCTGAAATAGTATAATGATAAGCGATTAAAATTTGTTGGAGTATAAAATTCAAAACATAATTTAGTTTGACAAATGAGTTTGATTGGAAAATCAAATAAAGATGACTAGGAAAAAATAATTGTATCCATCTATCCTACCCGATCATGTAATTTTCATTTGCATATCTCTCCTCGATTTGATTCAGCTGTACCCCCGAGTCACAATTACCCCGTAGTTCGTAGTGCAATTAGGTCATGGTCTGTATAACGCTTCCCATTTGCTATCCAAGAATCCCCGAATGAAACGGAGGATAGATTTGTAAGTCAGTGTCCTGCTCATAATCAAACTCTTGTATATAAATTTTAGAACAATTATTCAATAACAAAATTTTAATTTTAACCTTCAAATCAGAATATGTACAAAGAAAATCTGTAATTAACATCATTACCTTTAAATCAGAATATGTACAAAGAAAATCTGTAATTTTTGGGTTTATAATGGATCTCGCTACTTCTGCTTTTTTATTAATCTTTTACAAAACTCTGTTAAACTCTCAGTTGTCTTCAATTTATTATAATTATCAAAATCCTTTCTAACAAATTCCCAAAAATATTATCTGTTACTGATCGTCGTGACAATAAAAATTTTTTGAAAATCCTTTGCAAACTTTTTGCCCAAAAAGAAAAGAACATTTAAATGAATCTGCAGTACATTTCGTTCATCACTGATTTTATACAAAACAAGTAATATTTTCGTAAAATAATGACACACGCAGTCTTTATCGTGTCTTGTTTTTATAATTGATGAAGACAACATCATATCCATAACACCAAAAAATTTTCAAGAATTAGTTAATGTAGTTCTGTGAAAATTTTGAACAATGAAAATAATAAAATCACATATTTTATTAGGACAAAATATAAAAAATAAATCACACTTCCTTGCAATGAAAATGTCATAAGAAATTGCTCACTGAGCGGTAATATATTCTCCTCCCTCACTAAAATGGCTACTAAAGCGTTCTCCTTTGTTACAGGTAAAATGACCTAGAAATAACTCCACAAATGAGGACGTATTTTTGAAATGGCTAAATGGAAACCCTACTAAAAATGATGGTCAGAAATCGGTCAGGTCAGGGACATATCTGGAATGATGGCGACCGATTGCTTGGCTTTTGTATGAGTCGATATGTTTCATTTCAATACTATAATCACTCAATTTGTTGAGCAAATCGTCGTATCTCAAATTTGTCTTGCCTGCAACAAATCCCCACTCCAGTTCATTTACAAGATACTTGCCGAAAGTACAATACCACCAAAAAGTATACTTCCATGAAGTATTCCTCGACTTCACCACTTATATAATCTTCCCTTTTATCTTTACTTAATTACAGAGAATTAATAACTAATAAAACCCTGAAGACCAGTTTAATATGAAATCGCTACCACGATTTTAATTGTCACTGACCCTGATCTTTTCCAATTACAACCTTTGCTGTACACAGTCTAAGACAGAAACGTAATTTTTAACACAACTTAAACATATCAAGTGAGTAAAAGTGGTCAGAACAAGAAAGTCTTCACAAACATGAGCAGTTAAGTAAAAATATATCACGTGAAAGTGATGTGAATTATAGGAAAAGCCAAGTAATCAATAGTATACATGAAAACGAGTAGAATCGCACAGTACCAGACGCCAATGCAACTTATTCATTTTTCTATCACAATCGCTAGCCATGAAACGATATGTTTTGCCATAAATAATTTTCACCAACAGATGATCACAGTGAAGCGTTTGTTCAGGAAGTATTAAAAGAATAATATTATAAACCAAATGCGAAATCTGGTTTCACTTTAATAAAACTACGGTAAGACTACATCTTATAACATGCTCATAATTCTAATTCTTCACGCTTTAATTACTAGAATATCATTTTTGCTGACACATAGTTACTTCTATTTTTGAATAAAGTATTTGATTTTCAATTTCAAAAATTTAAATGATAGACAAATATATTTAAGTCTTGATATTCAAATGTTCGAAACAAATTTTATACAATTAAGGTAGTTAAGCAAGTATGTGACTTTGTTTTAGTGCATAATAACCAAAATGGATGGAACTAGTAAAAGGCTCAGAAAAAAGAACTTTCAGCTCTAGTTAAATTTACACAGAATACCGATATAATCTAACTAGAGTTTAACAAATGATTGAATTCTACATATCACAGTCAAATATATGTATCGCTCATTCAAAAAAAAAGAAGTAAAAACGAATATTATGACAGCCAAATAATTCCCACATTAGTAAACGATACTTTCTACTGCTGAAATCATAAAGCAATACTTTTGCCACACTGTGCTTCTCGAATATCTTCAATAAGACCTATTCTTGAACTTCGTTTTTCCTCACGAGCAATATCACGATAGCTAGCTTCCATATGACGATCATCAATCATTCGTTCTCGTAACTTCCAACGATTCTTATCATATCGTGGATTTATCATCCTTAAAAGGAAATTAAAAAACATTAGAAGAATAACATGAAAACAGAAATCTTCCATGTTTAACTTTGGAAACCAGATGATAACAAAAATGCACCGAAGCGTTTCCTCTAAATCACCACGTTTCAAATGATCGTCGAATTCGCTGTCATCAATGAAATCATCCATCTCACTATCATACTCATCCTCCTCTTCATCAAAACTTTCCCTATTGCTTTGGCGGCGCAATCTGAATAACAAATATTTTTTTTAGTAAATTTGAAAATCTTTGACGGTAGAATTTAAGGTAAAAAATTACTCTAAACAACGCCGTTCCTCCAAACGGATGCGTTCACGAGCTTTGAAGTGGGGAATTGATTCTTCACGTGACAGCACTTTCTTCAATACCATTTCTCGTTGATTACCAGTTTTATCGCGATATCCTACATTTGTTGCAGCAAGTATTCTGAAAACTTGCTTCTGCTAAATAATCAAAGTAAGTTTGAATAATGGCGATGTCCATACCAAACCACTCTATTCATAAATCAAATAATACAAACATATTACTTCACCACTTTGAAGGCAACCAGGAACTAATTTATAATTAGAAACTGAAATTTTTTCATAAAACGCAGTAAATACAGAACACTCAACTTCAAAGATAAATTTTTACCACAATTTTTATTGCTACCTTGTTTGCATTTCTTTCCTACTGTTTTCTTGTATATTATTCTTGCTTGAAACTGACCCATTGCTAATCAGTTTGACACTTGGCCGAGCTTGCGCTGGAGAAGGTCCTTGATATCTACAGCAGTGCAGTGATTTGAAATCCAGTTATGTTAGAACAAATATTTTTGGACTAGTACTGATTGCACGCAAACCAAATGAATGAAAATGAACAAAAAAAAAGCATAAACAAACCTAATATCACCCGGAAGATAGCGTCGTGGTACAGAACTAGTAGGCAAAATTTCGTTTTTTCTAGTAAGGTTGGCATCAATGAGTTTGTTTCCAAGATTTGAATCACTAAACATAGAAATAATTCAATCAAATCTTGCATCTCTCTGATTCGGAATAAAATATTCTGATTATTTTACGACTATAAAGCAATACACAACCATATTTTTTTAGAGTTAGATTTTTTGTTTTCTCCATGTAGGATTTGTTGCTTGCTTTTGTAATCAAGAAGCTTATTTTTTCCAATATTTGGTCGTGGTCCAATCTGGGGAGTTTCCTTTGCCGAAGGTGGAGGTGAAGCTGGAAGTGGTGAAGGACTACATGAAAATGTTTTACGACTTTGAATTGCTTCTGCCTAAAATAAAGTAAGATCAAAATTAAATAAGCTAAATGCAAATCGAGATGTGAATAAATGCAAACAATGAAAACGAAATTCTACACTTAAATGTTCCCTACTTACCAAACTAACATTGCTGATGTTCACATACACCTAAAAATCTTAAGACAAGAATTTGTCGCTGCACTAAAAGTTTATTTCACCTTTTTCATCAGAACTGAGAAATTAAAGTCCGCTGAAATCGGACGACGCTTAGTCACTGCTTTTGTCTCAGTTCTCTTTATTTTAATTTTCGAGATACCAGATGAAGAAGGCCCTGGGGAATCTTCCTTGCTGAAACGCATAATATTTCAAACATCCTTAAGACCAAAAAAATTATTGAAAAATTGGTGCGTGCAACCTTTATATATTTTCAATTGTAAGCATATTGTTTTGCCAGCTATTTCTGCACAAAGAAGACAAGAACTTACGTTAGGTGTCTCAAACTATTCTTTTTCTTTGTTGCCATTCTATATGGACCATTCTTGCCAAATCTCGCAACTACTTTCTCAACCTCTTTCTTTCTTTCTAGAGCCTTCATAACACCTCCACGTAACTTGGTATTGAGGCGATTAGCTTCTTCCTGAAAAATATTACTTGAAAATCAAGTCATTATAGACAGAGGATTTAAAATTCAGAAACATTTCCATTTTCTAAACAAACTAAGAAAGCAATACCAAAGTACAATACGGAAGTTCGTCTGTCTTCAACAAAAAAGAGACGATTCTTTATGAATAGCCTTAAGAGACACAATAGATTAACTGCCTTTTATCATTTCCAATGTTATAAATAAGACTGACTTCTTCACGAATTTGCTGCCTTAACAGATGTTCTTCATGTTGACGATTATTTCCATATTTTTGCTGCAGCTCAATTGGAGTACTACCAAACTGTTTGGCAAGTTTCTTGTTAGCCTGAAGCAAAAACTTTCAGTGACACAGTACAGGAAATGACCTTCAACAATTTATTAAAAAATATTCCGTTTGTCCAATATTTTTTGAATCACTAAATAAAACTCAATCCACAGAAAACACAATGAGAAATTCTTAAAAAACAGTATTATTTCCAAAATAAAACCTGAAAAATAAACCTTTCCTCCATAAGTTTGCAACCTTAATTTCAACAGTTCTTCCTTCTGCTTCTTTTTTTCTAATACGGCTCTTTGTTTCTCCTCTTCTTTCCGTTTCAGAAACACTGCTATTTTATTTTTGTCAACCGATGGCTCTTCCTTAGTTTTCTTCTTGGGAATGATGAACTAAAATTATAAAAGGACTAATTCTACTACTTAAATATATACAATAATATATAGTGATTACTTATTTCTACAATTTTTAGTCATTAAAAAGCAAAATCTAAATAAATAAATCAATGGTGAAAATCATACCTTTGAGAAAAATTGAAAACAGGAGTAACCATATTAAATCACTTAAACATTCATCATATGGGATATAAATGAATACATATTCATGAAAATATGACAAAATAATTGCACTTGTTTTCGACTTTTCTCAAAGTTATCAGTTTCATCACTGGTTTAACTATTTAAATTTTGAAGATAGAATTTGCATTACATTAATCTCAAGGCTTTATGCCCTATGACAGAAATTATAAAACTTTAAGACATGATACTTCAAATGAGTGACCTGAAAGTGATAAGTCTACAGGGAACTGAGAAATGTTTTTAATAATTTTAGTTCTAGAAGACGAGTGCGACAAAAACTATTAATTTTAACTTATGTAATGTATAAAATTTAACAAATTTAATAATTGAAGAGAAAAGAATACAAAAAGTAGCTACGATTTTTAACAAAACTTAAGATTGGTCGCACTTTCTTCCCTCAATAATATAAAATTTCTAGCAAGAAATGCACTCAAAACTGAAATTCCTGAACCTCATATATTTTTTGTTTTCAAGTGAGTCCAGCCAGAAAACTATTTGATCAAGTTCGAATAAAAGATTTCTAGAAAAGAGCAACTTTGGAATTCCACTGAAGTAAAAGCTAAAAATAGCAGATATGAGAAACCCGAAGTGATGCAGAAGTCAAAATTTAAGCCCTAAAAAAATGAATCAATAGTCAGAAATTCAACACCTTAGTTTGGACATTTATATGTTTTTTCTGTTGACGCTCTGTATTTGGTTGAGAATTTATACGTTTTTGCGTCTTTTGATGAGCTTCATCAATTTTTTTAATCTCATGTTTAGCCCTTTTAGTATTACTGCTAGCTTGCTTTAGTATTTCATCGAACAAGTCCATGTTATTACTATATTAGATCTGAAAATCACGTTTTAACTTTCCCTACTAATAGTTCTTATGTTAATCATACTTTTATATACATAATTTTGAAACTTATGATAAAAAGTGTTTATAAAACACACACCTAAAAAATTGTCTTCTTTTTCATCGTTATTTCAACTCAAAATCACAAAAATAACAATTCACAGCATATGACTACGACAATCAAATATCCATCTTTGATGATTAGTGGACCGTATAATTATCAAATAGAACGCTATGCAATATATTCTTTCCCATCTTCAATCACAATCAATTTATATATATATATATATATTCAACTTGTAAAGAATTTTTGGAGTTATAGGATGGGCTTTAATTCTGTAGAATAAAGAAAATTCAGTAATGCACATACTCAGCACAAATTTTTAAATGAATTTCTAGGAAATAAAAAATCTGTGATAAATTGTAAGATGTTAAATCTTTTTTTCTTATCGTTGTTCTTAAGAATGTCATGTCCTATTTCATTTTATCTTATACCATTATTTTACATTATTTCTTATTCATATTCATAATTTTTCATCACATTTATAAGTAGCTTTATTGTATATATTTAACTTAAAACAACTATGCTCAAAAATAGCTAGTAATTTGCTTTTTAAACATAATGAAGATTAAACTTTGATACGTTTGAACTTTGTGTGAAATTGTAAATTATAATTTATTAACGAAATATACTTTTTATACTTTCATTCTTTTGTATTTTTCAAACAAGCTTGAGATTTAAATCAAGAAATAAAATAAAAAATACAAAGACAAGAACTAAAAAATTTCTTTAATATAAGCCATATCTATTACTATAAAATTGAAAGAGGAACTATGATCTTTTATATCTGCGATTTTAATAAAAAAATTGTGCTCAAAATTTATGATTTTTTGTACAACAACAAAATATCATTGTATTTTGTGATGAAAAAATTTATCACAAATGTGACTGTAGTTGAAAGTTAAGTAAGCGAAACAATAATAACATTTTTAATGTAATTAAAGAATTTAATTATAATTTGAATGAAAAATTTTGAGTAATTAATTTGTAAAAAATCAAGCAGATAATAATGAAAGTGCAACTTTTTAATATGTGTAGCAAGCAGTTATTTTTTTAATTACAGTAATAAAAAATGAGAACAGTCAATTGAAGTATTACAAACGATTGGTGGTATATTTGAATGAAAAAAATAACAACAGGCTAAAGCATCAAAACTTGTTAATAAGAATAAAAATAGTGTAGTTAGTTAAGCTTGTCCAATAACTTTTTTTATTTTGCAATAAATTCAAATTAATAATAGTATAATTTGAAGGAATTAACATAATTCAGCTTGCATTGAATGATTATCTGGACAGTAGCGTGAGCAGTTTTTTGTTCGAACACGTACTGCCCTACCACGGTGTTTAAATTGACATAACGACCATTCCGTCCATTGCATATCATTCAAATTTATCATTTCTTCCTGAAAATAAAAAATAAAAAGTAATGATGATTTCATTTTGTTTGTTAAAATTTTAAAATTATCACAAAAACAAAATCTAATTTTGTATAATACAAAATATCGTACAACATTTACTCTTTTATTTTCATTTACAAATGTTCTATTGAAACAACTTTAATTTTAAAAATAAACTTACACTAGCAATATTATTTTTTTGAACTGGTTTTCGTCTAACACTTTCGCAGCTATTTTCAATTAATATCCAACCAGTGCCTGCAGGTATAACTGATTCCAATGAATTGCTTATATTTAAATCAAATAAATGACACTGATGTTTGTTTGAGTCAAAAACTGCACACTAAAATGAATTCATTTGAAATTAGAAAAAGTAGCTCACTAGCAAGAACATAAGCATTACATTTGTACCTAAATTATTTCTGTCTTATAAAAATAAAAACTTTTTTTTGACTGCTCAAAACATTCAAAACAAATAGACAAAAATGCTACAGTAATAGCTAATTATGCATTTTAAGAATATGTTATCATTTAAAATTTGATTGATATTTAAATCAATTAATCACAATAAATTTGACTTTTTTAATTAAATTAAGTATTGTAGTAAAGTTTATATTTGTACCTTGCAATTCTTAGTATCTAAGCAATGATATAAGCATCCAGTAATACTTCTTGCTTTTTTGCTGTACATAGCTTCAGCGTTTACTTTTTTTTGCGCATAAAGTATGAAAATTTCGTCTTCTTGGCAAGCACTATATGTTGCTAGAAATTAATTAATTAATTAAACTACTAGAATGTTGAAATTTATTGTTTTCTAGTTGAAGTATGTTCTACCTCTTAAGCAAAATTTTTCAGCATAGATGCAATCATCGTTTTCAATTAAGCTACCAGATCCGTGAGGCTCCGCTAATGTGTTGTATATCTCACATTTTTTAAGTGAAGGAAAGTAGTTTAGAGATGAACAATTTAATTTTTCATTCTTCGGTCCCTAAAAATATTCACTAAATTACGTTGCAATGATAATTATTTTTACTGTGATAAATTTCAATCAGTAAAATTACTCCTACTTTAATTCTTTTAAAATCGCTAAAGCATTTAAAAAATAATCTTTCTGCATTTTTTGCTAAACAAAGAAAAATTAACCATTAACCAATACATTCTGCTTTTCAAAAGCATTAAAATTTAGCATGAAAAATGCAAAATTTATTAAAAATTTGATCATTTGGAATTTGTTGAATAAAATTATTCTATTCGTATTACAATATTTAATGTATTGAATTTAGTTATTCGAACATTTTTTATAAACTAATAATGTATTTGTTAACTAGCTTTATTATTGGAGCAATAATGAGCACATTCAGTTTGACTAATATCCAGCATTAAGCGAACATCATTTTCATCGCTTGATATTGGCAAGACAATTTCATATCCAATAACGATATAATAAGCTGTTTTACACATATTCTTCTCTGTATTTGTCATATCTGAAAGTTTGAAAGTATTATTAATGTATTAATTTATTGTACTACACTACCACTATACAAGTAATAATACAATATTAAATAAAATTTACCAATTAGGGGTCTATTATCCATTGTAGTAATCTGATAATTTAGTAGCGGTAATAAAGTAGGTGGCTTAGGAAAGTCATCAATTGTAGTCATATGTTGTTCATCATTATGAACTCCGACTGATGATTTATTTTGTAGATCAATTTCAGGATATGATAATGAGCCTGGTTTTAGTAGTTGAAGATTTTTCATACTATTTGTGTTGCTAATGGTAGACGAATTTTTAGCTTTTTCATTGTTAGCAGTGGATTGAAAAGTCATTTCTGGTATTGGTAGCAAATTCAATTTGGGTGGTTTTGGCAAATTATTATGATTAGAAAAATCATTTTCAGTTGTTTTAATGTCATTTTTTTCTGATGCTTTTGAGCTAACTTTTTGCTCTTTTTCCATTATATTCATTAATTCGTTGTACCACTTAGATGTCTTACTATGTGCTTCTTCACTATTAGAATTTTCTTTTGAATCATAGTTTGTTTTATCATCAATATTTTCTTCGTTCTGACTGAAAATTCAAATTTATTAAATAAAAAATGTATAAAAAATAATCTATTGAATGCCAATTTCTTATAGCTTTTAAGAAAATATTATTGATAATAAAGTCATTTTAAGCAGCTTTTTAAATTTGTTTATGGCAGTAATTTTTAGATGATATATAATTATGATATAACAAAATTTAATAAAATTTGATTTCATCAACTTGTAGTTAGTTTAAAATAAGTGACAAAAGCACAAAGAGGTAAAAATTATTGAAGGCTTTATTTTTTAATTAAATTCATATAATAAGTAAAAGAACAATCATTTATTGAATCAAATAATTAAAGAAGTATGGTAAGAAAACCTATTATTGCGGAATGTTTGAAACTGATTTATAGCAAATTCTTACGAGCCAGTAATTTTTGGATGATTCTTCTGTAAACCAGATGAGGTATCAAGTGGTTGTTGTTGCTGAGAAGGTAAATAGTTGTTATTCAAATAACACCACATAAATGGATTTTTACCAGGGTCAGTTTTTTGGTAAGAATTTGAAGAGTCAAATTGCTGTGAACGAAATCCAAATGCTGGGAAAAAATTTTGTTGCAGTAATTTTTGTTGTTCTACCGTTCTTTTAATATGAGTATTCATCATTTGAGAATCTCCTAAAAGTGTCATTCATATATATTTAACAAATTATAAAATACCACTTTTTTTTTCTTCTGAATATATTTATTGTTTGCTTGCTCACACAAATTCAACGCTTTTAATAAACAATTTTATTTAACTTTATTATTTATAAACTATTTTTGATAAACTACAAAATTACAATGTACCATTCATAAAATTTTCGGATTGTCTTACGATGAAATTTGAAATTGGAGTAGTAGTAAATGATGAAGTAAGCGAATTTTGGTCAGTTTCAAAAATATTATTCAAATCTCTTGTTGAAATTTGTAATGCTTGAGCTTCATCGTTACTATCAGTACCAGTCGATGATATTTTGAGCGAATAATTGACATTTAATGGAGAATCTGGTTGAAAATTCATAATATTAAATGGTGATTCAGGCCCTGAAATAAATAATTGCTTGAATGAAACAATCAACAGATTTAATTACCATTTTTGAAAAACAAATATATGAAAACAATAATTGAAATAATACCTGAACACTGATTTACAGTAGATATACGTTTAAAGTAATCAAAACCATTTGCTGGATGTAAAATAGCTGGTGGTTGTTTACCATCATGATCGTATAATCGACAGCTATATTGTAAATAATCGTACACAAATGAATGACATAATTTAGCCTAAAATCAAAGTGCAAATAAATGAATAAATCACAGTTTTTCATATGATGTTTGCTAACTCAAATATATTTTATACGAATAATTTCAAAATTTTTGAAATTAAATTTAAATAAGTAATTTTCAAAACCATTATTTTCATTTTATTTAATTTTCAATGATATGTAAGAAATTTTGATAAGCGCGTATTCATATTTGAAGTTGTAATTACTTCACAGAATTTTTGTTTTTTGTAATATAAGAATCCAAAATATATAAAATTATATAACATACACGTGAAGGATTATTATTGCTCACAAAAATGCAATGATCAATACAGTGATGTGGTGTCACGTAGAAAAGTTCAATTATTGGTTGTGAATTGTCAATTGAACGTCGAAGAATCCTTTGGAAACATCGAATATCTGTTCAAGTTCACTGATTAAAATTGGTTTAAGTATTATAGAAATAATAACAATAACAATTTTTACTTCAAAATAATAGTTAGATTAGTATATTTAGTCAATTGCTTCAGTGTACATGTATGAATTCAATTAAGGTATGAAACTTAACTTATTTGTAATTTTACTAATACACTAAATTTCTTATCAATAAAAATGACTTTTGCCTACAGTAACTCTCAAGTCTTAGGTTAATTTTTAACAATGAAATACTTAAAAAAGTACTAGATATATTATATTGCTTGCATCTGTATATAAATGAAAATAAAGATTCTATATTTTGATGGTATACTTTTAACAGGTTTTGTATTTAACTAAAGTTTCCATGAAAATAGCTATAATTAAAACTTAGCAAAGCACTTACACTGTGATTTACCAATTGAATGATTAAGAAGAGGAAAAACCATGAAAATAACAGATTGCAAGCGCAGCATTTTGATTATTACTTAATAATAAATAATATAAATCTAAATTGAGTGCAGTGAAAGGACAAAATTCTTATATTAATACAATGTAATACAACTATTTATTAAAAGAAAGTAGTGGAAAGAGATTGAATGACTTAAACTTTATTAGGTCATTGGCACTGAATTTATACTTTCTTGTAGATATCCTTTTCACTTCTCACTATTGTAATCTATAAATGTTGTTCATCTATTAAATGCTTATTACATTGCAGTGTAGCACTATTTTGCTAGTTTTTAGTTATAAATAAATAATATAATATTAATTAGCATAAATTTATTAAAACAATGAAAACGAATATAATACATAATCATAGGTAATTGATTATTATTTATCGAGCAAGGTGTCTTTGTTTCAAGATCTTGTTATTAATCAATAATAGAGTGGGGAATAATTTTAAAACATGTTCACATGAAGTAGTACTTGATTGAGTACACAATTTTTGTTAATTTCAACCTTAGCAATACCACACATGAAAAATGACATTACTAAATTTAGTATGTTTTTGTTATATTTTGCGTTTATCGTTTGTTTTCATGCAGCCGTTAACTTTTCCACAAGGCTTTTTTGATTCAACAAAATTGAAAGCTAAAGATGCTATTTACTGGAATCTTTTGGCTCTTTCTGCATTAGAACATACTGGTATAACAGTAGAAGAATTGAATGCCTTAGCTAAGAGTAGATCTGAAGAACCACGGCTAGAATCTCACATTATGCAAAAGTCTGCTTCTTTTAACATGTCCAATTCATCACATAATGACAATCACTTGCTAAATATTTCTGATTCTTCCAATTTGCATTCAATTCATTCTGTTTCTTTGCCATCAACATCTTCTGGTATTCATGAAACACATACATCATCAGAATCATCACAAATTATTCCGAAAAATCCTTTTCGTCGATTACATGACTGTAAATTTTCCATTTGAACTTTAATTTAATTTACTTTAAAAATAAATTACATAATATAATACATAGCTCTTTTTTTTCGATTCATACTTTTTTCAAAATTATAGTTACAAAATTACTTGTATCAGTTCAATTTTATTTTTACTGACTGAATTTCTAAAATTGTTATAGATACTTAAAAATTAATTTAAAAAAAGAATTTTTATTATAGTTTTATACGAAATATTTTAATAGTGGAACTGATGGTATCAACATTTCTTAATGACTAATAAATTTTTATTGCAGTAACTGATGATTCAGATGAAGTTGACAATCCATTTGATGAAATTGTTACTCGTGCTCCATCACAAACCTCTTCAATACTTTCACTTCAACAACCACTGATTGCCTCAAACATTCAACAACAGCAGCAATCACTGCAAACTACAAATAATAATCAGCATAAAGGTGCTAAAAAATTCAGAAGAATCAGACTTAATTTTTAACTGCATATAAAGTTTAACAAATTGAATAAAAATTTAAAAAAAAATAATAGATTGAAAATGATTAAACAAATGATTTAAATTGTAAATGATGACGAAAATTTTAAAAAATGTATTACTGCAGTCATGCATGCAAGAATAGTTTTGTGATGTAAATTCAAAATTTAAATATTATTAAAAACATTATTTATGAATTAAACTTTTTAAGCTTACTTTTAGCAACTGAGCAAATATCAAAGCAACAAAAAGCATTACGATATATTATAAAACGATATAGGCAATTGAAAGCAGAATGGGATAATATTCTTTCAAATACCAAAACTGTGGAAGACATTATGGAAACTTACGAGCCTAATTCATCAAGTAATGAAGAAGCAAGAATAGAATATAAACCAAGAATATCCCTAATACTCCCACCAAGAGTCGATCCTTAGTTATGTGTATAATTTGAAAAATTGGAATAGCAAAATTTATTATTAGAATAAATCAATTTGTTAATGCTGTAGTATGAAAAAACTAAATACTTTGTTGTAGGATTGCTGGCAAAAATTATTAAATTATATTTAATTATTAATAAATTAACAATGTATTTCGCTGTTTACACTTAATTTATAAGAATAATATAGAAATATAATGAATATGAATTATTCTAGAAAAATCTAACATCAACGGAATTTTGTAATGATCTTTGTGTGAGTGAGAACAATATACTTATAAGATATTGCTTTACAAATATTATTACAAATAACAAACTTTTTGTGTTCATTTTTTATCACTTAGCTATTAATTTATGTCATTTATTTCGGAAATAAAAATTTTCATATCTTAATAAAAGAATATTATTTACAATGACTTTACAAATTGCGTTTGATTTTGTTGATCAGTAAGAATTATTTGCTTTGCATTTTTAGAACAAAGTTGAAATTTAAATAAAAATCTGAATAAAATGATTGTTTCAATAATAAATTTATTTTTACAATTAAAGTTATTGATGTTATTCCAGATAATGGCCAGTAAAAAATGTATGTCAAGAAATGAATCAAGTTTGTTTACACCACAGCAATTAAAAGTACCAACTGATAATTTAAAAAATCAACCACTGGTATGAATGATTAATTTTTCATGCAACTTAAGAATACTACAATTTTTCATCAAAACTTTACTTACATTTGTGCTAATTTCAGATATCCAAAAAATTACAAATTCCTGAGCAAATAAGTATAAGTAAAATTAAAAGTAAATTTGCTAGAGCAATGAAGAATTCCTTGCAGTATGTAGCAAGCGATATTCGTGATGAATGGCATACTGAGATTACGCCAGAAAAATATCTTATAGGTATTAATGAGTGTTGACTGATAATAAAAGTTTAATTATTTTATTAAAAATTGAATTTAAAGTAATTTTTAATGAAATAATTTGTTTTAATATTTAAATTCAAGCAGTCAATTTTCTCAGAATATAAGATTTAATTTGTATATTTGTTTATACAGGTGATGTTATTTCTGAAGGATGGAATAATACCGTTGTAACAGCTCATTCTTATCCAGTACTAAAATATTTCACTCACTCAGAACTTCGATCATGCGTTATCAAGACAAAATATATCGGTACCATGCTAGATGACATTTTAAGTAATTCAAATGATGCTGAAGAAAGAAACTTCAGGATTTCTCAACTTATTCGACGAATAATTATGGAAGTTTACATTTTGAATAGGTATTACTTATAATTTTTCAGAAATAAATCATGAATTCATATAAAACATAATTTATTTACTAATAGAACTAGTTAACAATTTCTAAAAATTTTAAAACCACAATCAATAATATGTTTTAGACTGATATTTTATAATGATAAATATTATTTTGAAATGTGAATCTGATATGTATTGAACAGCAGTGATTTATTGGTTTTAATAATTTTATAATTTAAGCATTTAAAATATTAGATAAGTATATTTTGATTAATTTATTTGATTGAATTAAATCAATCATTATTAAGTTGTTAACGTCGAAAGATTTTCAGGGTTCGCCATTCCAATATAATGCATGCTCATGCGACAGTAGTAAATGAAGATTCACTTTCGCTGCAGTTAGTTCTTCCTCGATTATATCAGCTAGAAGAGCTTATTGATAAATATAGACGACAGACAAAAGGAGAAGTATGTAAGTTTGTAAAATTGGTTCAAAAAACTCAGTGAAATAATCATTAGTGATTTAAAAACTTTCCTATGATTATAAATACAGTAATATTTCTTGCATTTAACTTTACTAAAAAACTTTAATGTCCAATTATAACTACTGTATTATTATAATTATTTTCAGCCTATGAATATTCGTATAATTGCAATGATAATTCGTCAAGTTTGCCGAGCACTTTCTTATATTCACGATGCTAATATCATTCATAAGTATTATTAATTCTACGTACTAATTTAATTTAATTACTTTGGTAGTTATTGTACCAAAAGCATGTGCTATATTACTATCAAATATTTTTGTAGCGATGTTCAGCCAGAAAATATTTATTTAACTCGACGTGGTACTATTAAATTAAGCAATTTTACTACTGCGCGAATGATTACTAATGAATATATTGCTGAATGTTGTTCTACTCCTGATGGAAAACCTGATTATATGTGTGCAGAAAAGGTTTAGATATAATTCAATTTAAATGGAAAAATTATTTGAAACTATGAAGAGCTGATCAAATTGCAAATATGTTTAAATATTAGTATTAATTTTTGTATGATCTATCTTTGACCGTTCGTTGATTACATACGTTATCGACTTTCTTTAATTAACATAGCTTAAATTTTAGCCTCAATTTATTATTACTATAAATGATACTTTTTATTTGACATGACGTGAAAAAAAAAAACAGCTTTTATTAATCAATTTTCACAACTTTTATTAACATAACAATAAACGAAAAATTGGTTTCAGCAGTACAATTTAAAATATGCAACAAGTATAACTAATTATAAGAAATATTCAACATCGACGGATATTTGGTCATTAGGTGTTTTGATTATTCATATGATCAGTTATTATCCTAATGAAAAATGGCATCGATTACCTCGAACATTTGCTTTGCAAATGAGTGAACGTGGAATGCCATTTCGATGGTTAATAAATGATATGATGGTACAGTTATCTAGATTCTTGATAATAGAACAATTTTCTAATTTATTATTATTTATGTAATAGTTTGAAAAATGAAACTGATATTTTATGAAAAATTATAATTATTTTATAAAACTTTACAGCAACTTTGTGTAAGAATGGAACAGAGCGGAGAAAAAAATTTGAAGCAATATTTAAATGATACAATGCTTAATGTTGATCCAAATGCACGTTTTACAGCAAAACAAATTTTAAAATCATCACTGATACAAAAATGGTGCAACGAAAGTCTTGAACAGGTAAGTTCCACTGTGAACTTTTTTTACTACAAAGTATTATAAAATTTTGATTTCAATTATTCTTTAATTCTGGATGATTTGATTCTGTGCTAGTATTTTATAATTATTCAAAGAAAGAAATACCTCATTTTTCTTCTTTTTGAAGGATAAGGATTATCTAGTGAAGCATTTCATTTGTGAATTAGACTGGCAAAATCGTCTTAAACTTGATATTGATGGATATAATTACAATGCATGCGAAGCAGTTAGTCTTTATTTTGAAAATTTTTATCATTATATAGTAAGCAGTATATTCATTCACCTAACACTTTACTAACTTTCTATTTTATACTTACAATTTTTTGATTCATCAAAAAATATTCCAAAGGTATTGAGAGCAATTTTAAACAATTAAAGATATTTTACAGTAAAACTCACAAATATTTTTAGAATTTTTTTTGCGTTAAAAGTTTATAATTGCAAATATTGCGCTACAGAAAAAAACAGTAACTGATTAAAAATGTATATAATGTAAATATAATGTATATATAATTTTCGGAAATTCCTTTTAAATTTTTAAAGTGAACGTGGAATGCCATTTCGATGGAAATTCCTTTTAAATTTTTAATTTTAAACTTTCGGAAATTCCTGTTAATTTGAAACTTAAAAATAGATTTTTAAATGCAAAAAAATTTTTACTCCTTTAGTTTAAAATTTACATTTAAATGAAATGCAATGTTTGCAAAACTTTTTTACATTGCAGAAGGATATTCCAGCTGATTTTTATTGGGATAATACATGGAAAAAACTTGAGCAACAATCATTTGCATACCGATTATTTATATATGATAACGATCGTTTACGAATTGGAAGCGATATTGAGTATGCATAAATTAAGCTTCTTCTTAATCCATTTCTCACGATTAATATTAAGGAAATAAAAGTGTGTAGAATTTCAATTTTCAGTAAACTTTTACTTTTCTTGTTGCTAATCAGTAGTAGCAAATAAAATTTTTTAATATAAAATCAATTTGAAAAGTTAATTTTAGAAGACATTTCACGCATTCAGATAATTCGTTATTTCAAACGTTAATGCTAGCTGTTGACGTAGGAACGCTTGAGATGTTCGATATAATACCTGTTGATCAAAATATTCGAAGCTTGTGTTTTTCGTTAATACGAACTGCAAAATCTCATAAGTATAATCTTGACAAATGTGGACCTGAAGGTGTGCATATTTGATTAAAATTTGATATCAGTTTAGCATATTTTTTAAAGATTGTCTTTAACTTTGTATAATCAAACTAATAAAAAGTTTATATGTTGTTGGAAAACAGTTGCTTTTGAGCAAACTTTTTATTACCAATATTATGTAAAATTTATGTTGTAGTTTTTATCATTTGAAATAAATCTCTTATAACTCTTTCATTCTGTCTGATTAATTTAATCATTTTGATAAGTATATTAAATGATAGTTTCAGAAGTGCTGTTTGATCTGCCACCATCTTTTCAATACGATGTGCGTATAGCAAAAATTATTGTTTATCTCATTAAGTGATTATAACTCATCATTATAGATTCTATTAATCATTGCATGCGCATACTATTAATCACATTAACTTTTGATTTATGTAAGAAATTATATCCAAAGTATCAAGAATCATTTCATATATTTATTTCATGCAGTGTTATTTTTCTAAATGCCAGAATTTTATTGTTTCAGTTGCAAATGTATGTAAATTTTTTAGATGATTTTTTAAATATTTCATGTGCATAGCTATAGCTATGAGAAAAAATGGGGACTAAAACTAAATGCTTTGCTTCATTTTATTCCATATTCTAAAAAGACCATTAATAGAAGATTTTTTAGCATGCTTTTTCAACAATATCTTCTGATTATTATTACATTTGTGATGATTATGTGTAAACATAAAAATAAATAAAACAACTAAATTGTACAGTTAGCAATAGACGATAATTGATGAAGTAAGCATAATAGTTCGAAAATTACTTAGTACTAAGATTTGTAATGTACTTTTATTTTATAACTGTATAAAATTTATTTTCGCAGACTGATATTTTAAAAAGAAACCAATGCTATTTGATTTTATACTTTTTTTTCAGGCTTTTTTCTTGGCCAAAAAGGAATGTCATTACTTTCATAAATTGAGAAAATGATTATTTTTTAATTTGGAAATTATAAATTTTCACTCACAATCAAAGTTTAAGGTGGAAATTTTTGGATGGAACATAACAACATCTGACATCAATTAAAGAATTTCAAAAATGATCTCGTAAATTTTCAGTCATTCTGTTTTTGTCACTTTGAGCAAAATAATTTCCTGAATACTGTTATAAATGTTCAGTGAAAGATGAAATTTTCCAAATTCTCGGCTTTGAAAGTAGAGTATGAGCATTTGCAATATTCTGGTATTTTTGCAGTAATAGTAATTAATAAGATAATAATAATGGTAATAACAATTGTCAATAATAGTGGTTGATAATAGTAATAATTATAATAAATAGTGGTAGCGACAATTGATAATCAAAGTTTAAGGTGGAAATTTTTGGATGGAAGAGTAGATCACGACATCTGACATCAATTAAAGAATTTCAAAAATGATCTAATATTAATAGCAGCAGTGATAAGAATGAATAATTGAGCGCAAATGATAATTTACTGAACGCAGATGGGAAATGGAACTAGCTGTATGCATTTTATCAAAATTGATCTTGAAATAATACGATATTAAACAGTTTTATTAAGCATTATGACTGGAATGAATGTGCTTAAAATGTTTATTAGAATAAAATTTTGAAAAATGACTATAAATTTTTTAAAATTAATGACGTTATAATTAATATATGTTCTGCCTATCAATTTTCAGGCTACAAAATGAAATTTTACAAGCTTATCTCTTTAAAAGATTGCATTATATTTGAAGAATAATATATGATAATTAAATATACAATAATTTGAACTATTTTAAAAGATTGTATATATGATTATGATTAAATAACTGATCATTCTCATATGAAGTAAAAAGTAATTTTGAGATAAATTTTCTACAAAGGGATAAAAATTTAAGTTTTTATTTATTTATTTTTTGCATTTTTTTGATAATTGCATTTGCTTGCTTGCTATTATTGACAAAGTTTATAATGAAAGACAGACTAGAAAACATTTATTCTAATTTTTTAATATAAAATAAC